TTTTCCTAGCTGGGAAAAGGAAGAGGTAGAAGTAGAGCATCAAAATTTATGTTTGAGTTCTCTGAAAATACTCACAGGAGTGCTGCTTTGCACCTGGTGCATGTTGAGTTCCCAGCCCAGCAACAGCATCACATTCCACTTGAGGTCTTTGTGTTCTACCCCATCACAAACACTGGTAATTCCTACTCTGGCTCTGATACCCACTCTATTGACATTACTAAGACCAGCAATGTGCAGATCTATGTTTAGCTGCACACTCTACACTCAGCCCCAGGCAAAACCAGTTTATCCATTTGGAGCAGTGCACACCTGTTCTTGGTTAATCCCCAGCTGACAAATTACAAAAGGGAGAATAACAAACACGTAGGTATTTAAAATACTGTGTTTTCAGCATGAGTCATAAAACCCTGGAACCTAAATGGATTAGAAGTTTATAACAGGAGTTTCACCAGGATGTTGGCTTACTGCTAGGGCTGACTTCCAAAATAAAGTTACAGATCCCAAGGTATATTTACATTTCAATAACATGAACATGCTAACAGCACTTACACTCTTGAGAAGAAATTCTAAGGCTGTGTCTGAGCAATATAAATGCTGTTTCATTTGCTTACCACTAATATCTATCTTGTTACGTTATAAAGCACTTCGAGAAAGCCTTGTGCATACAGATGATGTGTTTCTTCTCCTCCATCGTGCATAGCTCGCTTGCCATCTAGTGGGCACAGCACGAGAATTAAAGCATCACTACTTTCAGCAAGAAATGAGCAGTCACAAAATGTGTGGGTATAAGAGTTTTGAATTAAATATTTTATTTCAATTAACAGTAGAAAACTATTAACACAGCTAGCAGCACTGCTTATTAGGTTCCCTTGAATGTGAAATTTTGTCTATATTCTAGGCAATCTCAAAAAAGACCTTTTAAAGAACACATTCTTCCATACCACACACTCTTTTTAAGTCTCAAAAAAAAACCCCACAATTATGAAATCGATTATATAATTCATCTTATAAATCTGCCAAAATAATTTGCAACGTGAGACAATTGAGAAACAAAACACAGGCATTCAAAGCACTCATCTCCAAGATAAAATCATCATCCTATTTTTAGTCTGGAGAAAGAGGAGTTAATCAAAAGCATCTTGCACTTCTTTGATTCAACCCTCCAAAATACAGTGAATTAATTACATGTTTAAATTGGGCATTTGATTAAGTGTCTTCCTTGACCAGAGATCGCAGTATCTTACTGACCTATAAGTCTGAGTGACAGCTCATTTGCTTTGAAACCAGCTCAGGACAATGAACAGCAGGGAACAAAATGATTTTGTGCTTGCTCGCATCAATTAAAAAATGGTGTAAATCCTTTAAATGATCCAGAGCTGACTCAGACCAAAAGGGTCAGTAAACCTTCAGAAGTTTTATATAATTCTATCAAATGACACTTTGTGTGAATTTAGTGTGCATTTGTATTGTCAGTTTGAAGGGGATTAAAATACTTGAATAATTCCTTATAAGTGTCAACAGAGGACAAAAAATATCAATCAGCAAATCAAGCTGGTAGAGTCACTTTAATTTCCTGTTCAGAAAATTTTATTCTGACTCTGTTGTTTGACATCACTCAATAACACACTGTGTACACTTTTTTTTTTCCTTAATCAAGTTAAACATCTGATAATGACCACAGGGAATGAAATAGGCCACAGCTGGCTGTATCATGCATATGTGATCACTGCTTAGCCACAATTTATGTAATTAGTTACAGTCATATTAAGCTACTCAAAACACATGTTAAAGATGTAATGATGAGCTGACATTAATGGGCCTTTCCAGCATGCTTAAACCTTTCCAAAGAAGGTTTGAATATGCCACTGGTATGCAAACAGGACACATACAGAGAACAATCACACATCAAATCATTACTACTTTTAAAGAAATACAAAGGAATATTTCTAAGTACATACATTTTCAAAAGCTATATCAACAATACAATTTTCTCACTACAATCTCAATTCTATAAGGCTGACAAGACATGGGGAAATTTTTACTGCTGCTACTCATGTTCCAAAACTTAAATGCTGCAAGGGAGAGCTGGCCTTCTGTAGGGAATATATATATAGGCACTTATTTTGAGTGAATCCCTCCCTTGACAGCAGTTTTGCTAAATCTATGTGGTTCTGCCTTTGGCCAACATGGAATGAACTGCTGGATCCAGGCCCAGAGCAGGCGTTGCCCAGGAATATAAGCACCAAACCAAGTTCAGGTGCCAACGGCCTCAGTCCCAGCCCAGCCCCTGTGCCTGTGCCTGGCTGCTCTTGTTCATACCCACCTGCCAAGGGCCAGGAGCACCTTAACCATGGCAAGAGTGAGACCAGGAGACACTGAAATCCAAGCCATCACTTTGAAACAGGGGGTCTGTTGTAATTACGCATAATTACAAGCCTACAAACGTTTCAGTTTGACGTCAGGAAAGCGTAATGTGAGGCAGAAGGGCAGGTAATGAGGAAGGAGTTTTGTTTTCTCAATAGGCAACGTGTCACAGTCTAATATCCAAGCTCTCGTTACAACACAGAGGGTGTTAGTTAAGCTAGAGGAGCTCAGCTGGATGGGTGACTTACCTCGGGGGATAGACCCACGTGAAACCTTAACAATTATTGTCTCCTATAACACTGTAGATGATTTTCTTTACTTGCCATGTTACAGGTTGTTTCAAATAGAACTCTCCCTTCTATTCCTCAACTGTTCCTTCCTGAAGACTTTCAAAATTCACCTGGATGAAGCCCTGAGCAAGCTAATGCTGAAATTAGCCCTACTCCGAGGGGAGACTGGACCAGGTAAGCTACTAACCTGCCAGGTTCCCTCTAACCTGAACTCAAGCAGTTATTGCTTGAGACACAGTGAAAAGAACAGACATAATTACACAGCAGCATGGGTTCACCACCAAAGTAAGAATATTTCCTTCTTCCTCTTTCTGGACAATGAAACCCTATATTTGTTAAAGTAAGCGTCAAAAGAAGTAATCAGAGCATTCTAAATTCCTGTTGTTTGCACACATCAGAATTGACTTCATCTAACATAACACTAATCTTAACACAATGTAAGATCAAAAATCCCTTATTAAGAGACCAAAATATTTGTGTTTGTATTACAAGTAAAAGTAGACTTTTGTTTTCTAGTGAATTTGAAAATTTATGATTTATAGCAATGGTCTGGATGCTTAAAGAGCTGGATTTGCCTGTCCATATAGTTTCTTTCTGATATTTCATTAACACTTACATTGTTATTTACTATGACTGAACTTAGTTGGCCAACTGGAAACAAACACCCTGAATCTCAGGTGAGCTCCCAGAGCTCCATAGTGTTCAGAGGAAAGAGAAATGCTTTGTCTCAAACAGGATTAACACTGTCTGCTATACAGTACATTCCCAGCTCCTTTAGCAAGAATTAGGAAAGGAAAACCTATTCTACATTTTCCTTTGGGTACTTGCTCCTTCAAATTTGAATGCCAGCCTGTTAGGGAGGAAGATCCTTTCCAAGCACTGGCATATGGTAATACAAAAGCAGTAGTACCCAGGCATGATCTGTTTCCAAAGTTGTAAAAAACTCTTCAGACAAAAGACTTGAGACTCTTCACCTCATGCTCAGGCAAACAGCCACATCACATTCTAGACAACTGATTGTATGAGCAAACACTGCGTAATGGGAACATAAATTGTAGAGTTGGGCCCAAAATAACTCATATGCCTATAGGATAACATTATAAATTGAATTGAAAGGCAATTAATACCATACCTACCAGAAGTTTGCAAAGACCTTACCTGGGAGTATGAAGTGCCATAAAACCCCCTCTCTGCCCTGAGATTTAGCTGCATTCAAGATACCACTCTAAGTGCCCACTTTTTTTCCAGATGGTAAATTGTAACTGTAATTCTAAAGGCACCTCCAATGCTCAAATGAAAACACTTTTACAGCTCTTGAAACCTGGAAACAACCTCCTCCCACACCAGAGTCCAACATCTCGGGCTCTGTTCCAAGTCCAGTTTTCTCTGCCTGCCATGATTTTATTGCTGCAATAAAGTGAGGGGATCAGAGGGAGAGACAGCAACCAAGAGAGGGATGGTCAATGTGTCAGTACAGTGATTGCATCTCACACACTCAACATCCAGCACCAAATATAGTTTTCAGTACCTAAGGTTATGAAATTCCCACAAGGTCCTTCAAGGTAGTGCTGGTATTACTTTATCAGAAAGATATCCCAACTAGCATACTTTAAATTAATCTCACAATCTCTGGCCAATTTATGGTCCACAAAAATTTATGACTTCCCAAAGCCTTCCTCATCAGCCCTGCTTCATGAAGGCCTCGTGAGTCAGTTCACAGAGGAAAGATAACTAGAGGCACTGTTTTATGGGTGTGTGTTCGAAAGACATAGAAAACTGTGGCACATAGCACGAAGCTCGGGCAGTGCACTGGGCCAGGATTCAGGAGAAAGACATTATTGCCTGTGCCTGAGGGGCTCTGAGAAACCCCCCTCATGTGAAGCTGCTGTGGAAGAGAGCAAGGGAAGCACCCCCCACCTCACCCGCATCGCTAGGGCTACACTAATTAATTTTGACAAGACTAACTAATTAATTCCTACAGAACCCTCACTTAATTGCTGGAAGGAAGAGTTTACCTCCGACTTCCCTGGGGTACCAGCAGAGCTGAAATGACTTCCACACGGCCCAGGCTGGGCTTTGGCAGCGGGGCAGGGGCTCCCGGAGAGGGAAGCTGGGAGGAGGAAGAGGAGGAGGATGGAGGAGGTGGCAGCTCAGGTAGCGGCGGGCGGGCGGTCCGGGCGACCCGCCCATCCCAGCCCTGCCCTGCCCTGCCGTGCCCGGCGAGGCGCGGTGCGGTGATGCGATCCCGTCGCTCCCCGCCCAGCCCAGCCAGTCCTGCCGCGTCGGGAGCCGCGGCCCCGCAGGTCCCGCCCCGGCGGCGCTGCCCCGGCTGGTTCCGCAAGTTTTTGACAGTTTGTTCGCGGCCGAGGGGGAGCCGAGGCTGCCGCGGCGCTGCGCTGGGGCCGGGGCGCTCCGCAGGACCGAGCTCTGCCCGCCGGCACCATGTCCCGGGACCCCGAGGAGGTGAACAAGCTGACGGAGAACACGTACAAAGTGAGTGCGGGCCGGGGAGGGGCTCCCGCGCCCACCTTTGCCCCGGGGGCCGCGCCGGGCTCGGGGCGGCCGCGGCTCCTCGCGGGGAAACGCAGCGACCTTCTCTTCTCGTTGTTTCTCCCCCTCTCCCTGTTTCCCTCTCCGTGAGTGATCCCGCCCGCCCCGGTGTGTTGGGCCGCTCGCCTTCCCCAGCCAGGGCGGGCACGGCCGCGACAGCCCCGGGACAAGGCGGGCGTTCAGACTGGTTCCTCGGTTCTCCCTCGTTCCCTCGGTGTGTGTTGGTGATAAGGCGGTGTGGTGGTTGTGGTCCCTCTGCTTGAACCGTTTCTTCACGGGGGCCACAGCCTAAAAATGGCTTAACGCTGAGTTAAGTTGCTTGCCGGCGTCCCGAGCTGATAATCAGATTTATGGTGGTGCACCCAAGCACTGCCTCAAAGCACCGGCTGCTGAGGGCAGCCCCATTCGTGTCGGTAGCTTTTGAACTTTCCAAAATGCCTCGTTATTTGCAGAATTTAAAATATTTTGCTTGTGGCCACCAGACGCTTGTTTTGAACTTTTTCTCCCTATAAACGCAGTCCTTCCAAAGCACACCAATTCTAACTGGGCAAAATTCCCTTTAGAATCATACTTTTGGCTGGGCAGCGTTGGATCCGTAATCCTCATTCTGTACAGTGTGTTGTACCAGAGAAAGCACTCAAATTTGCATGAGTGAATGCATTTGCAAATTTGACTTACAGCTGCAGTGCACTTGCAGCTTTGAGCCCAAAGGAAAGCTTTCTGAGGGGTTGTTCTATTTCACTGTTTACTAAACCTTGCTGGTTTACTACCGAATGTTTTCATATTTCTGAAGATGTTGTTGTCATCACTGAAAGGTCTCTGAAAACATTTACTGGGAGTAAATTTTGATGTTTGTTACTTTTGTGGTTCTTCAACACACTTAAGTCAACTTTACCCCTTCGATTACACCGGCTAATTGGGGACATGTTGTATGTTCTGTTTACTTTCTTTGGATTTAGATATCAGTTCCATGCAAAATTACTTTAAAAAAAAAAAAAAGGAGATAACCTGGCTATAAATTTTGTCCTCTGAACCAGAGCAGGTCATCTTAAACAGTCTGGTGCTTTTTATATCAGTTACATTCGTGGCAAGGCCATAAGCAAACATAAAATCCTCTCTCAGAAGAGCACCCTGTAAATACAGGCTCACAGAAGAGAAACCTGGGAAGTTGACTGTTCAGGGCTGTGCCAACAAAGGAATGTTCTACCTTGTCTATTGACTTCTAGAATGTAGCTAAAACAGTTTTACAGAGGAGGGGGAAGAAAATATCCTGTATGTTTTAATGGGTATGATTTAAAATAGGCTTTAAAGGAATAACAGACCTCTAAATAAGCAAAACCTTCCCTGTTATTCAGTACTTATTTCCTGGGAAAGTTTACCCTTTTGTTTTGTGTTTTAAACTAATTCAAAGGGATACTTAAGATTGAAATAACCAGCAAAAACACGGTAATACAAAGTTAGTGTTGACAGTGTGATGAAATGCCTTCTATGTAGGTATTTTGAGAGGTCTGGTATGTTGTATCACATAGCTTGAACTCACAGGCCTGGAAACCCTCCTGCCCTGCCCTCATTAAAAATTGAAACTTTATCCAGATAAGGTATAAAGGCTGCTTCAGACAGAAAATGGATTCAGCGTCTACTTTAAAGCAGTTACTTCTATATCAAAGTTGAAATCTTGAAAATAGTTTGTCACCTTTTAGGGGCAGAGAGGAGTAGCCTGTGTATTCAGCACTGGCTGTGACTGTAATCACAGCTCCCCCATCTAAAACAAATGAACACCTCTTTGTGCTGTACTTCAGCCTGCTCTGCTTTGTTTAGTGGTGCTCATGGAACTTCTGCTCTTGCTGTACCATCCTGGCAATGCCCTGCTTGAAACACCGTGCTGGGATGGATAAAATTCATAGCTTCTGTTTGTGCCTCTCCTACCAGTAAAAAGAAAGGCTTTGCCTGGGAAAACCAATTCAGTGTAAAGCAGTGATGGCATCTGTGCTGCAGGGCTGAACACAGGCTTTGGACTTCTCAAAAAAAATCAACTTTGGATGACCTGGAAAAGTAATAGAAAATTAAATTGAATACCTTGCTGGTCTGCTATTTTTGAGAGGTTTTGTTGTATGTTTGCTTTTTTTTTTCTTCTCACAGTGCTAATCCATTGGATTTATTAAATACATAGTAACCTGTGTTATACAAAGCTTCAAAATACGCTCACAGAATTCATCAGGTGACCCTTTTATTTTTATCTTGTTCTTCCTTTCTGTTGGCAACAACACCAGAAAGTGAATACCTCAATGTTTTTCAGCTACCCTGACTAAGTAAACAACGTAATTCACAAATATGTGTGCACACACAAAACCCAGGGCTGACATTTACCCTTTTATGTAATACCTGAAGAATCGCCTTAACGCATGATAGGAATGGCACGTGCAAAATGAAGCCCAAGGGTGTGGGAGTCGATGACTAAAGAGGGCACAGCCTCCTTTTTGCCAAGGAACTGCTCAGAAGTTCCCTGGTATGACACAGCCCTGCCCTTGTCGCTCACCGAGGTGATGTGACGTGATGTGAGGGGACATTGTGTGACCCCAGGGAAGTTGTTATGTCTTAGTGTGTCCCCACAGCCCACACAGTGTTGTTTTATCTGCTGTATGTGGGGGAAAACTACTTGGCATCCAGCTGAGATACACAGAGTGCAGGGGAAAGGGGACAAAACAGGAAAGTGCTGAGTTCCAGACCTGTCCTGTCTGTGTGGGCTGAGGGCTGGGCAGGCGGTCACCGAGTGCTCCCGTGGTTTGAGGTTTCCGGAGCTCTTCATAATGGCAGGATAGCTGTGATTCATTGGCATTGCTAATCTTGGTTTTTAAAGACCTATCACTCTGTATTCAAGTGAATCTTACCCAGAAATTTCCATTATCAACCAAAGTATAATCTAAAAAACCAAACCAAAACAGACCCCCCCCAAAAAACCCCTTTGCTCAGTGGAGTGATGTGTTCTCCTCAGGGGCATTGTAGAATTACTTTGGCAGGCTATATTGTTGTGAAAATATATGTGATAAATTCTGTTAAAGTCCCAAATTCCGTGTTTCTGTATTTTAAAAAGACTGACAATTAGATTAAACTACCAGACTTATTTACCAAAACTAAAATTCACCTGTGGTCCTAGCACGTGCTGCAGTCAGGCTGTCGTTTAGCATCCCTGAAATACAAATCTAACTTGTGGGAAGAGGAGCCCTTGGAAGTTTGTGTGTGTGTGTAAAATGCAGTTCCACCTTGGTGCAAATTATCTCTTTTGACCTTACTTACAGTTATGCCTACTTAGAGTCTATCCTTGGGCAGCTGTTCATAACCTGGAAAAGTCTGTATTTGAAACACAGCGATGGATGGCATAGTAATGTTTCTCTTAAACAAGAAATCTTCCATCAAGATGACTGGTAATTAATCATAAGAATTAGTCTTTTTGAATAAACACTGGCACCTTAATTTATTCTTTTCCATTCCGTTAAAATTCTTTTAAAACAATATTAAGCTAACTTAAAACCGAGATAGCTTAACATGAGATATGCTGAGGGCTCAACTGTGCTCTTCTGAAAACTGTATTATGGATTTCAAAAGCTAAAGGAGATGAAATGCAGTAATGTACAAGATGCTTCAAGTACAGTAGAACACAGTATGATTTACTTTTTTTATGGCTTTTGAATCTCCTCAAGTGGGTTCTCAGACATAGTGTGGCAACACTAAAGACTTTAAGAAAAATTTACTCATTTTCAAACTAAGAAATAATTTAAATTAAATCATTAGTTGCTACACAAAGGTTAGCTATGAACAGCTATAGTGATGGTAATATCAGTGATGATGCACATCAAGATCTACTTTGCTAGTTTTATAATTTCAGATTTCTACCCAAATACATTGCTATTTACTCTTGCAAAAGTGCCTGCAGGATGTAAACTTGAATCTACAGGGAGTCTATGCATTGTTTAGTTGTGTTCATACCTGCTGAGCTATTGTTCAGTGAGGTGTGTCTTTAAGTAAAAAGCAATGCTGAGCATTTACAGGAAGGCACTTTTACAATGGTTGTCATTTGTTTTGAAGATTAGTGTTGTTTATATGAACTATCAGGAACTGTGGGAGATATAATACCTACACACAAGAAGTGGAAATACAAGGCTTCTTCCTCCTCAGTCAGCTCTGTGCTACCAGGCTGAATAACTCACATTGGCTTCATGATGTGAAAGGCACACAGCAACTTTATAACAGATTATACGAGGATTCAATGACTCAAATGACCAGAATAGGTTTCACTTATGCTTTTTTTCTTGGGAGGTCGCTTTTGCCAACTCTAAAGGTCTCTGCATAAAACGTGTTTCTAGTTGCCTGTTTTGAAAATGTTTCCTTTTATTTCCATTCATCCTAAATAATAGAAAGCTGTAGGATCTGATCATGTGCCTCCTCTTCTCGTTAATTATTCTGTCCATGAGAGGTAGAGTGTCACTGGAATATAGGACACACGATTGACAATTAGGAGGCCGTGTTTTTGTGCTCACTGTACAGTCAAACAATGTGTTCTGAACCACTTTGTCTCTCCCAGGCTCTTTCTTACCTTGTGATCTTTATTTGGATTGAGGCAGAGGTTTCATTTCCACATCTGTGTACACCATGACAAATAACAAGACTGTGTTATTTTCAGAGACTTCTGACAATCTTAAATTAGTGGTTCTCCTGATCAGAAATTCTTCTTTGATCCTCTATCCTGCTTTTTTAGAAGTTTTGAGATCTAGTTTTAATGTATGACTTGAAATTTTGCACTCATGTTCAGTCCCACTCATTTTCATGACCTTTTCCTTAGACTACAAGTAAGAGAAAGCTTTAAAACTGTAAGAAAAAGCAACTGTACAAATTGATTTGAGTTGCTCTTGTCCCCTGTAACTTCTGAAGCTGAATAAAATATTACAATAATTTTAATTTATCTGAAATGTCTTGGCCATATCAAATTCATGTCTGATCCTGAAGAGGGAGTTGCCTGTGACAGTTCCCCTTTTTGAAAAAGTGCTCTAGATACTTCTCCCTGGGCAGTACTTCAAAGACAGCCAGTGGTTAAGTGTGGTTAACTGTATGAAAAGACCACTAGAAGCATGGCCAGGTTTTTTGATTGCTTTGAGAATCTAGTCTTCAGTAGAAATTAAAAAAACCCCACATATTATGCTTCTTTCTAATGTATGAAAGGGAAATAATCTCAGAATTATTCCACTGGGTCACCTTGGAGACCTGGCGGGGGGTCAGGGAGAGCTAAGTCTATCAAACAGAGCTAAGTCTATCAAACACCAACCCTTAGTAGGAAAGTAGCTGAGCCCTGCCCAGTGCTGGGAGGATCAGCAAACCATACCCTGTGTTAAACCAAGCAGATTCCAAAGGGGAATTTCCATTGCAAAGGTTTTTGCCGTTTCTCGGGCGTTCACGTCTGGAGACTGGTTCTGCTAACAATCAACCACTGTGGCAGAGCAAAGCCTGAAACACTTCCAGAGACTGCTTGGTCTGATGGAGAAAAGATCCATTAGTTGTACCCCTTCCAGCCACTGCAGGCACTGAGCTGTAAATTGTTTCTTCATCTGTCCCAGCAGTTTTACATGCACAGTGAGCAGAGGTGATGGACTGGAGCTCTTCCTCTGAGTCCCTTGTGTTTCAGTGGAGCTGCTGTGTTCCCACAGGGTAGTCTGTGTCTGCTGTACTTGAAAAACTGCTATGGATCAAGTGGGTCTAGTGAAAATCAAGAGCTGTGGGGCCTGGCTTCAGAGAGGGGAGCTGTAGAGGGTAATTTTATTGTGTTTTGTTCCCTTCCTCCTAAATGAAAACTAATGACACAGGTGCAATCACTGTTTTTTGTTTGAAATCTGAATTAGAAGATGATAAGAAAATTGGAATATTAACCTCTGAATGTTTAAGACGGTAATTTAAAAAATCAGTACTTCAAGACAAATAAGTGTCATGTTACCATTAGAATTTTTGGGTAGGTGGCAAAAAGGGTTTTACTCTGTAATTTTTTGTTTCAAGGAGCAGGGTTAACAGGGGCAGAATCTGTCCTTCGGGAAAATTATTTTCAGTACAGAGTGGTAATTCAAGGTGACATTGAGATTCTTACCTGCCATAGATAACACACCACCACTGTACACCTTCCTTTCCCCATATCCTTGAAATACAGAACTCTCTATCCCAAAACAATCCCCTAATTCAACTTTTTTTTTCCTTGTGATTCACTGACTCCATGTATGGCAACAGACATCTTTAGTACACAGCTGGGAAGAAATAGGAAAAAGTTGGAATAGGAAGAAACAACTTACTCCTTGGAACAAGTGTGTCCCAGTCACTGCCTCAGCAACCAGGAGGGCAACAGGCACAGCAGCAACACTGACAGGAGCAAATTACAGAGCTGGGGCAGGAGGAGGGATGTTCCCAGACACTACAGCTTGAATATCCATGCTGTTAAGTTGTTAAAATAGCCCTTGGCATTGTTGGCCCAACCTGAAACACACTTTCCCAAATGATTTCTGGATGTGGTTTGTGAGTTAACACAAATCAAGGGCCTGGGGACAATAGCTGGTTTGTTTGCAGTGATTGCATTTTGGTGGGTGAGAGTTTAATGGGACAGACCAGAAAACAATCCCAGTTGCATTTAATTTGTACACAAAGGCAGAGGGGCCAGGTATTGTCGTTCTGTGTCTGCTATTGATTTATACTCCACTAGTATTGGAATCTAATAGTTTGTTCTTTTTTTTTAAATCTATATTTTAACTAAATATGACTGTTAAAGTGTTACTGGAGTTAATTCTTTCCTTCACTTTTTAAATGGAATAGAGTTAGGCATAGTGCTATCTTTGAAAAATTAAATAAAGTTCTGTCTGCATGACCTTGCCCGAAAATAAGACACGTGTGATGGTGTTGCTGTTCTTTCTGGGTCCACCTCTGTACTAAACATAAATATTTGCATTCTGTTAGTAGTATAACAGACAAAAACTTGATACTATTTCACTTGTCTTGAGTCTTGTATTTCTTATAAACAAAAAGCATCTGTTTTGAATTCCTTGAACTTGAAAGTTCTGCTGTGTGAACAATAGTGAGTTGTGTCATAAATGTATTGCCATAAAAATAGTGAGAATAACAAAATAGTGTCTTCTGGTGTCTCATCATCTTCCTTTTGGAATACCACTATTTATGCTACATGTGTTCAAGATATCATAAAGAGCAGGATTCTGAGGAGTGAATAACCGCTACATTTATAGCAGCTGCTTTTCCTTTTTCAGTGCTCATAGCAAGTAACTTTGCAATATTGATTTGGGGGGAAGAGGGAGAGTTGTTGTCTTTGACCAGAAAGAGGAGAAACTGAAGCTTTTGCATACGGACAACTCAAACTTTGTAGGGGATTTTCCTTTTGGGAGTGGGCAAAAGCTTCTTCTCCCTCCTTCACCCCCCAAATTTAGGCAAACACAAATTTGGATTCATATTTCACAGTTTAACTTATACTTTTTGCAAAGACTATGGCTATCCATTTATGGATAAAGATTTTTCTCTCATCTTTATTCCACCATCACCTATCATAGAAGACAGTTTTGTGCAAACTTTGATCACATGCTTGACATCCTTTTATATTATAAACAGCCAGATTCCTTTCTACCCCTGTGAAATAGTTTACCATTTTTTTCCTGTTTGTTGATCTTAAATGCTCAGGTTTTTTTCCCTTCCATCCTTTGCTCTCCTCTGTATCCTAAATCTTCCAATTTTCATCCATCCACAGACTTTTCAGATGGATGCTGTACATATGAAACTGAAAACTAGACCTAAGTGACACTGAGACAAACACTTCCATGCCCTGTTAAATTGCCTTTGTTATAACACAAATTTTGTTTTCTCTTCACTAGAATGTTATGGAACAGTTCAATCCAGGACTGAGGAATTTAATAAATCTGGGGAAGAATTATGAAAAAGCTGTTAATGGTAAGTTTTCTAAGTGCTAACTTCAGAAAGATTGTTTAATTTTCATTTAAATATACATATTAGACATGAGGGTTGTGTATAAGTTTAATTTCCAAGCTGAACTTTGGATGTGTATATTAAGAGGAAAAAAAACCCAACTAACAAGCACAAGCACACAAACATAGGTACCTTCTCCCCAACCTTTTGGGTTTTTTGCCACTGTTCTGAGGAAGTTGCCTCACAAACACTTAGGCACAGAACTACTGCAAAATAAACTGAAATAGGTTTAAATAACCCATATTAGAATAATAACATAAATGGAAAAAACCCCCACCAAAGTGATGTAAATTTGATATTCTTGGTTTTTCTCTGAAAATATCTTGCAAAGATGTTTCACATCCTTAGATCTGTTCCTGCTCACCTATACATGTCACTGCCTAAGGAACCCTGAGAACAGAACAATGCGAATGAATATGAGTTGCTGTAGTGGATTGCTTTTGTTGTTGTTGCCCATGCTAATCCTGATTTTTTTAATGGATTCAAAATCAGAATGAATATATTTGAATTTAAGGACGTTTTAGAATCCAGTTGTTTACTTCCATCACTGACTTCACAGAAACTATCTAGGAAGGGGCTTCCAGGACTGGGCTCTTGTTTCCCAAAGCCTACAGTGTAGGACCTGTTAGAGCTTGCTCCATTTCACCCATGCAGACCTGTTGAACTGCTTGATATCATATTAAAGCCATGTAAAATGTCTCTAATTTTGCCTTGCTCGAGCCCATGGCGTGTCTTTGCCCTACATGTAATCTAGTACTCTGAGAAATGTGATCCTGCAGAAGTAGTGCATAGCCAAACAGACATTAAAATCTCTCTTCATGCAAATTTTAGACCAGGCTTGAGAAAAAGATAAAACCAGAGCCTGCTAGAGATGAAAATAGGGAAATGTTGATTTATTTGTAGTAGTGCCTAACCTGATGGATGAACATGTGGTTACCTAATACCTGACCTTAGGAATTACAGGTAGTGCCAGAAGTAGCAGCAAGTGTTTTCATATTCACTTGAAATATTTCTATACCAGTTTCTGAGGGTTCTGCTTTTTTTCACACACTTTGCTGTTGATATGTTACACTGGGCCTCTTTTAATTCAGTTTGTCACCAGGAGTTCACGATATAACTGTGCAGAGCACAGAGGAGAGGCCGGGGGGTGCTGTGTTCTGGCACGTTTGCCTTTAGGACTGGCTGATAAAGCAGAGCTGCCACGAATACTTCATTTCCAAGGGACGTTTACAATGTTGCAACAACTGTTGCAAAGTCATCTTTGGACTCTCATAAATTGTTAATCTTTCCACCATCAGTCCTGGGCGGTGTAAAATAGATCTGGAGCACGGAGTAAATACTCTGTTGCTAAACAAACACTTTGTAGCTTTCCCAAAAAAAAGCCAGAGTAGGCCGACAATGAACATGAAACTTGGGAGAACTCCCGATAGGTTTATAATGTATTTTTAAATATTTTAGGGACAAAAGGTCAAAGCTCCTTTTCTGAGGTACGTTAAAAGCCATAGTACTGGTGAAGGGGCTGTACAAATGGAGTTCTTGATTTAGTTTGGTTAGCACAGGGGAAATCACTTTTTTTTTTGTCTTTTTAGTACCTGCATTAGGAGAAAAGAGTGAGTTGGGGCTGTTTTGAGGAAACATAGATAGGAGGAGTTGGACTGGCATCAAATCTCCTGGTGCTGGTGGCACACTGTGCTCCACCACAGCACCACCATAATTCTTCAGTTCAGAAAAATTGAACACAGAGCACCTATGAGATGGAGCTGAGGCAGAAATTACCCTTTTGTAGTGCAACAGAGCCTCAAAAAGAATCTTTGTTTCATTTGGAAAATTCTCAGACTTCTCAGTGAATATACTGTTATGTAACCAAAGATGCCACCTTACTAGTAAAAACTATAAAATACAGACCTATAATTGGCAATTATATTCCTCTCAGGAAAAAAAAAAAAAAAAATGTATTCTAAAGTCAACAGCAAGTCTGCTTGGCTTTACCTTTCAGTGAAGAATGTATTACTACAAAAAAAGTAATGAAGACTAACTTCAATAAGTATTTTTCACTGCCCTTTTACATTAAAATCTTGCCAGTTTGTCCTTGTTATTTCTTTTCTTCATGGGTGCAGATCAGTTCTAGGCACTGTGAAGATGCAAGGCAGCCAATGCAGATCTACTCCCTGAGTAAAGTGCTTGTCCCCACTGCCCTCCCTGCAGTTTGGGTCCTGACGTTTCCGTGTTCGTTCTGGCAAAACTGGCTTTGCTGTTTAAATCAGCCATAACCAGGAAATGATTAACTGGGAATAACTGGAACCTTCATGATATATATTAAGAACTTATTGGTTCCTGTAAGAGACAACTTAAGCAGGAAATGGTCATTTGTTTTTGAAGGGCTCCAGGTTTCCTTGTGGCACCGACAGGTCCCTTGTCTCATGGCCAGTTGCCATTTCTCACATCACTGCTCTGCCTGGTCGATACAAGACATCTTGGCATTTCTGGTAAATTCGGGACTGCATTTTGGGTTTTTTCCTCCAGTTTTATTGGTACCAAGGAATTTGGTTATGTCCTGACCAATGGCTTATGGCTAAACCTCCCCACTGGATGCTGATTGCCCCTGGGTCTGCATGGAAGTTGGAACTAAGAGGCTGAAACTTCATTAATGTCTTCTGGTGTTCTGTCTTTGTCTCCTGGTTTCACAAATTAGCAGGAGCACAGGGGCTTGTGTAACTCTCTATGACAGATTTCCTTGTTGCCATATACTCATCTTTTACTCTCTGTGCCCTTCAGAGGATCATAGATTAATAAAAAATGGAAGATATTTTGATTTCTTTTAACACTTTCTTTTTCCTCACCCCCAGTTATGATAGTGGCTGGAAGAGCATATTATGACAGCCTTGCAAAGATTGGGGATATATCAGCTGGTTCTCCAGTTTCTAAAGAATTGGGTAAGTGAAATCCTTCAAAATATAAACTTTATTTTTGTTTTCCTGCTGGAACTTCACAGAACTAATGTGAAGTAGATAAGGATCAGTAGAAGTATGTTTTACTCTTAAATGACACATAGATGGAAGGGATGAGATGCCTTTAAGGTATATTGTTTCATATTGTTTCTCAAGACAATGTTTTGAAAAAGTGACCTTTTCTTTTTCTCCTTTTGTGAATATATGTCTGCCTGTGCATTCAAAAGCATATATTTTTATTCATCTCATGCAGAGATGAATGTTGAAATACTTTTGCAGTAGAATATTGTTGTGAGGAGTCCTAGTGTATGACAGCAGTTCTAAACTAAAACCATTTTCTGTATGAGTTTCATTGTGAAGGGTTCAGGTTTACCTCACTACTTTTGATCAAGTGTATCACTAAAAAGTTCTCATATGCATTATATTTATTTTCTAGTTGAGCTTTTGAAAGAGAAACTAGACTCAAAGATGGATTAATTTTACATTATATAAATCTACTACAAGTTCTGTACTTTCCTGAAAATAATTTCTGAATTTTTGAAAGATTTTCATCTGCACTTGACCTTGACAACTTCACTTTTGTAGGCTGAGCAGTATAATTGTAATATTAGGTAAAGAAGTACAAAGTATTTGTACTATTTCTTATATAACTACAAGACAAAGAAGTGGGAACTACACTACAAAGAGGAAACATTTATTTAATGCTTTTATTTGCTTTTTGACAAAAATAACTTGATGAAGAGTCTTGTCTCAGAACTTTTGATTTTGGGCAGTGTAGGGCTCTTCCAGTGATGTAACATGGATCTGCTCCTGTAACCCAGAGTAGTACTGATTATAAAGGGTGGGTTTAGCAATTTTTTTTAATAGCTCTGGTGAAGTGGAACTGAGGGGACAGAACCTCCTTGAACAGTGGCCACTGGTTTCTATGTGCTGCACACATTTTTATGATTTGTTCTGAAACCACTTCTGGGTGAGTGTGAACTCCCGTGGTCAAAGCTGGGAGCGGCAGAACAGCAAACAGGGCAAAGCAAACAGTCCTGATGGAGGTGCTTTCTGTGTTTGCTCTGCAGGGTGTTTACAGAAAGCAGAGCTGCTGGTGTCAAACCACAGCACAAAAGGTAGAAGAGATGACTATGCAGAGTCTTATAAAATATCAGAAAATGCACAATCACGATATTTGCAGTCCAGCACTTGGGCAGATGCAGGGAAGCAGTTGATTTATTGGATGTCACGTGACTGTGGGATATTGCTTGTTGGAAAATACTATCACTGGGCAATCTTGTGCTGAATTCTGAAAATAACTGTTTTTCCCTATTATTGGGGACAATACAGAATTGCAATTGAAAATATATTTTTGCTTAATTATGAGTTCTTCCGTGCAGTTATAAACCTTTTTCTAGATATACTGTATTGAGAAAACATGGCCTTCTTCAGGGTCAGGCCTCTAACCCTGCTTTCTGTTCACCTTCTGCTTTAACTGTTCCTGCTGAAAAATCTATTCTTCTTAAGGAAAACAGTAACTCTGGATTTCCTTCACCATACTCTCTGATGGAATACCTAATTTAAACATAAGGAAAGCCAGTGAACACTGGAAAAGGCAGGATAATGTGGTTAGGAATCTATAAGAGATTACTTGCATTTTCAAGAAAAGAATGTTACAGGTCTTGAAGCTGGGCTACAACACTGAACTATTTTCCAAAGAAATATGAAACACTCAGATGTCTTTAAAAGTATCTACTTAAAAAGAAAAATAAAGAATTTACTCTACACTTTTGTATTTTTATAATATTGCAGTGAATGCTGAGCAATGTGGGATGTGTAAAGACCAGGTCAAACTTCGCTCATCTGTGGGCCCTGTAATCCCAAGGGAGTTACTGTAGGTGCAGCCCTCTGTGAAATTGTCTCTTCCATGAGTTCCTTTAGACTTGCCAAAAGACATATTATTGACCACTAGCAGCTCTATCATGCAAAATACTTCTGTTATCTTTGCCAAAAAAGAGGTCATTTTACAGTTCAAACCTAAACCTGCTGGGTGACCTGGAGTATATTTACTGCCAAGTGTGATGTAAAGATTTGTATCAAAACCACAGTTAATCCTTCTCTTCTTCTCATAAGGAATTACAGAACGTGGTCTTCTGAAACGAGACAGTAAAACGGGTAGCAGCTCCTCAGCAGGGCAGAAACAGAAATGGAACACCAGTACAGAAGAAATTTTTTGAAGCAGAGGGTAGAACACATAGAGGCCAGAGAAACAGTGGGGCAAAAAGTAAAAATGCCAGAAAAATGCTTTCTTCTGTCAGATGAGATTGGAGCAGAAGGGGGAAACAAAGAGAATGAAATGGAAATCTGGATATTCCAGCTGATTCAGAGCTTTTGTACTAAGTATCTTTATCTTTCAAGTCTGGTTGAAGCACTCTGGATTATTTTAATACAGAATAGCTTAGGCAAATTGAAGCAGTAGAAGAATGTACTGCAGTCATAACACAGTCCTTATGAATAAGGAATAAGTTGATTTAGTCAACATTCTTTCTAATTTCTTATTTCCCTAAATTTCTGGGCTTGTAGTCCCTCAGACTTGACGTGAGTGTTTAGGAACAGAACCTGAATTTATGCGGTTCAAGTTATTCTGCACTATGGAATTTGCATACCTTTTTTCCCTAGGCACTTTTTGGAAATCCCTCTAGGAAGGAAAGATAGGAAACAAGAAACTGCATGTTTAAAAATGTGAAGATTTCATACTATTCAAATTTCAGGAAACCACAATAAAATAATGCACTAAAACCAATTTCATGGAGACACTGCACCACAGTGTTAAAATAGTAACTTTCATGACGTGAAACACAGGTGTCTGAGGCTTTGTCATACTGATTTTTGGTGCTCATAGTTTTAATAAACTCTCTCCTCTAGTAACACAGGTTATCTCTGTAGCCTGCACAAGGAATCAGGAAGTTATTTCCTGCTCACTGGTGGAATACTACTTCTCATATCTTCCCAACTATCCTCTCTGGCACCAGCCAGTTGTTGTAGCCACATCTCATTTCATATTGTGGGTGTAAAGTCCCACTTTGTTTGTTGTGTAGCAATTGTATCTACAGCAGTCACCCACAGTTACATTATGGGTCTGTACCTAGAGTTTATTGCTTAAGAACTAGGAAGTGTAAACTGTTAATTGCTTGTCTAAACAGAAAAAGAAATAAAAAATATTACATTGCATGGTCTTGATTGATGGAAGTAAAATGCAGAAGATCAGAGGATGAATAGACCCGCAGTTTATCCAACAGCTGGCATTTCTTATAAATCTCTGTGAGTAACCTACTAAGTCAGAGCTCTTGAGTAACATCTAGCAGACTCATAGAGGTCCTTTGATAACTGTTTTTTAGCTTTTTGTAAAGAAAACTAACAACACTTCGATAATCATATATATTTAATACTAATAGAATCAGTAGTGTGAGGTCCAATCTATGGAGAGGTCTATCTGATTTTTCTTTCCAGTGATAGCCACTTTATTTTACATTTGCAATTAAGAGAAGCCCTGTGGGCTTTTCTCTCTCTCTCATTTCTCTTTGCAGAAATGAGAGATTTTCTGTATCAGAAGCTGTGAGCTTTAAGTGGTCAACTCACAGAAAAATTTTGGAACTGAATTGGAAAATTCTTATTTTGCTAAGAAGAACATATCTACTTGCTGAAAAATTTCTGTCAGACTGTAATGTAAGGCAGCACCATATTTTTAAAATACCATCTTGCAAGTATTTGTCATTCAAAACTGTCTATTTTCCTCCTGATTACAAAGCAAAATTGCCACTTGAGCAGGTACTTTTCTGAGCTATAGCTCTCTGTTGTTAATCCTGGGATATAGCACTTGTGTCACTCTCACTAGAGAGAAAGCCAAGCAGAAAAAGAGAAAATTCCATAGTTTAGGATGCATGTAGCTAGCTGCACTTCCATTAAAATAAAAGGGGAGGGGGGAGAGTTGTTGGTTTACTTTAACATATACATTGGCCCTGTCAGCTGGAATCCTATTTCACTTGCCTTAGAAAGGTGACACCTCACACTCTTCCCTTCTCCGGCTCATTGCAGCTGAAGAGGAGGGATCTGTCATCTTGTCCCACCTCACTGCATCCCTGTCATCCCTTTTGGAGCAACAATGTGCTACCTTTGGAATAGACTGTGTTGGATAGAAAGGCAAGGGAGGTGTGCCAGCAACTACAGAACCTTTAGCACCTCATCTGGTGGAAACTTCTGGGAAAGCAGCTCAGAGGCCGTGGCTTAAGCAGTTACAACCAGGCCAGCTTTTCCTATGGAGCATAAAACAGTCTTCTACTATACTTATAATGGAATTGCATTGGAAGAAGCCACTCCATTCCTGTGTTATGAAAGGAAACTACACAGAGTGTGTCTTGAAATGGAAATACAAAGTAGTTGTGGGCTTTTTCAGGAATGAAGTTTTATATCTTCCAGTTTTACAAGTAACATTCTGGGCTTGTGCTGTATAGACCTCCAAGCTGCTATAAGAAAGGTGGAAGGAAGGAGATGAGCCAGCCTTGGGTCTGTTTTTCCCTGCTAAAATATAAAACAGAAATGATACTATCAAGAAATGCAGAGAATAAAAGGTGGGCTTGTTATTGAACATAAAGAATATAAATGCTTAAAAATGGATACTGCAGCTTGTTCTTACAGGACTACCCAAAATAACAAGTTTATTCTGTATACAATTATGTTGTTGTAATTTTTGTTATGAAGACTTCCAGATAAGGTGCAAATTCTCTGGTTCTAGAAATGCCTGATAGGAGAAACAGAATATGACAGTACACAAGGCCTTTGGGAATGATTGCAGTAGCACCAGGGGAAGGAAAGACGTCAGATGTTCATAGGACTGCAGTGATATTTTTCCAGGTATTTTTTCAGATTAAGTTAGATAATTGGTCATATTTCTCAGTCAATTTTAGTATTTTATTCCCCACCCCCTCCTGAACTTTACAGCACCC